TCGGTAGACTTTTGATAGCGCCTGATTTCACGGAGAGCCACGGTACCCGGCCTTTTAAAATGAAATAATAATAAAAAGAAATAAAGAATTAGTATTCAAAACATATTCTACATCACCTTAAAAATACGGGTTCATCGTCTAAATCAGGCACCGTACCCATTCTGCTTTCACTAGAAGAGTCCCAGGGTTTACAACACAAACCCAGTTTCACCGGCAAAGGGTCGCTCTTTTCTCACCATGGGTCTGCACGAGCTTCCACCGGCCTCAACAGGGACCCCCCTCAGGCGAGGCCCTGACTTCGCCAAGAGAAGAGGCGGACAGCACACGTTAGCTAACTGACACTGAGGCGTCTCAGCGCAGACGTGGCAAACCGCAACAATGCCGTGAGTTCGCCCCTGACTTCGCCAAGAGAAGAGGCGGACGGCACACGTTTGCTAACTGACACTGAGGCGTCTCAGCCCAGACGTGGCAAACCGCAACAATGCCGCGAGTTCACTGGTGCAGCTGTTCCGTAGGTACCCTCCTAGCCATCAGCCTGACGGCTAGCACAACTTTAAGGGGAATCTGGTTGTTCTTCCCTACTGACATAAGACACTGACAACATTCACAGAACTAACAGAATTTATATTCTGTGTGATATTATCAGTACAAGGTATCTAGAGTATTTCCTTGTGTTAGTCTTGGTGTCTGAACAGCAAATTCAGATTAACGACGTACTTTTGCAGACACAAAGTCCATCCATGAAATTAATATCACCTTTATTCCTGTGGAAACTCTGTATTTTCCTACTCCAGCTTTACTACCTTTCTCCTGGACTATTAATTCTGCCTCACACCTACAGCAACAGACTTTTACATTAAGTTCACTGTTTCAAAGCCGTTTCTCCTTCCCAATTCACTTTTTCCCCAAGGAATACATACACCTAGCCCAAGATCATCCTCCAAGCTGAAGCACGACTGTTACCATTCTGGACCGAGCACAGGCTTCCAGTGGTGGAGAACATCATTATTAGAGGATGGTCAAAAAGATCCACTGCCCCTTCTAGCCTACATCCTCCCGCGCACAAACGTCTCTGTTCGGGACGACGGAGCGCACGCCTATTCGGGGAGGCCCCGCGCACCCGTGGACGTGCCGCGCCCTCTCGCGGCAGATCACCTCCCCTGCACGGCCACCGGAGCCCAAACAGCGCCGAGGACGGATCGAACCCCACAAGTAAATCACGACACGCCGGTAACAATAAACTTCGCGGCGGCACAACCCTGCTGCAGCATTTAAATAATCAGGAGCGAAAAAACACCGCAGAGCCGCGTTGACCGTAGGGGAGGGTGTTCATTTTTCCGGCGCCAGTACCGAAACGCCCGGAAAGGGGCTAATGGTAAATACCGGGCCCGCGTTGGGCGTTTATTTTTTTTGCGGCAGGCGGGG